CCGGCAGCGTCTTCTCTCGCCCTCCCGGACTCGGTTTTATAGCCGAAGTGGGCCAAAGCTGAGGGCGCAGCAAGGGCAGGAGCGATGGCATTCGGTTGTAGGTGGCAGGTGGCGGAGGGAGGAAGGACGTCATGGTGAGGTGGTCAGCGCCGTTTCCTCACAAAATGAGCACTTGCAGCCTCGGCGTTAGAGATCCTCCAGGGTCCTTCTGTCACTCCAGAGGCGACAGCCCAGCTATTTCTGGTATTTCAAGTACTCCACAAACTGGAGGCAGTCGATACATCTTTGCAGTGACATGGAAAGAACCATAGACCTATCTATAAAAATAACTATACAGACGTAGAGCAGGACAGAAATTACAAATCGTTTATGACCATCTCTCAATCTGACATTCACCCGAATCCTAACTAAAATACTGCTTTTAACACTCTGCATTACAATTATGTTTAATGTAAGAAATTTTCCAGGCTTTGGGCATCTTCTGAATTTTAAGCCAATGAGATTCCAATCCCCGGTACCCTGATTCACAGATCTTAAAAATCTACTTTGTCGCCTACAAATCACATAGCTGCATTTAGAAGGCAGATGACTGCTGCAAATGAGCACATTTATGTTCCGATTTTTATGGTGACATCTTTTTCGAAAAAAGCAAAAATATTTGTAAGGAGTCTTAGTACATGCACATTTATCATTTGTCTGTAAAGCAACTAGTTTTAGTGAGATTGCTGTCAAAGCTCTGGATATAAAATAACAACATGAGTACAACTATGGTATACAATAAAAATTCACTAGTATTTTCAAGATTCACAGTATTGAGTTGTTCAGGCTTTTTCTTTATATTCATTAACTTATTTAAAAACAGGAGAACAGTCTATTTTTCTGGTTCATAATTGGAATTAAACCAATTACAGTAGAGTGAATACAGAACAAATGGGATTTCTGAGGCAAATCAAAGTACCTAAACTCAAAATTAAATGTTTGAGTAATAGACTAGTGGGATATAGACAATCCTTATGATTCTAGTAAAACACTGACAGAAACTTTACCCTGCTTCTAAGCACATTTAAAATACTTCTTGTGATCAGATTATACCAGATGCTGTGGAACGTTTGGAGTCTAGGACTGCATGTCGCCTACAGTTGCACCACAGACAACTAGGCAGATCTGCCAGCTTGGAAAAGTAAGCTAAAACCCTAAGCCACAGGTGAATCCGTTGCCTTCTCCTTCTCAACTGGCTTTAAGTGTGCAGAAGAATTTAAAACGAGAGCAAAGCATCTCAGAAAACTTGGTCACAGCCAGTGGAGGCCCTCCCAGCTGTCAGCGAGAACGAAACACACCCTCCTGGGTAGTTTCCCTCGCAGCTGCTTTAGCATGCTTTAGAGCCAGGCCCTGGATCATCGAAATGACAGGCAAAGAATTCGTATTGGTCTCATAACCCCCAGTGCATTAGTGCTTAGGGAACATCATATCCTTTTAAAGAGTTGACAACCAGCCTCAGTGTAAATACTAATTTTCTAAAATTGCTATTGTGCCAAGCACCTTCTCAAGTCAAATTTTATTCACCTTTTCATCAAACAAGGCACTTAGGGCTCCCCTCCATAAGCGTGTACAACCAAAATATAATCTCGGAACTCTTCCAGTTACAACTGGTGGGAGGAGAAGGGAGGCAGCAGATTAATCGAGCTACAATAACCTTGAATCCTCCATCCCAGAGCCTCAGATTTAGTAATTACATCTGAACTGCAGTAAGAAGACTTCACATGTATGTATGTATGTACTTCCAAAGAAAGGCACATGCATGTGTAAAACCATACGTAAATTGCTGTGCCTTTTTTCCCCCCTTGTTAGATATACTGATTTGAATGTTCTAATCCTTTATTTTAAAACGGTTTTATTTTAAATGGAGCCTTTGGGCTTTTGGAGTAACACGACAAAGGAAAGAAGAAAACCAGTTCTTACTGGGAAAAGAAAGAAAAAAAGGAAACACTGAAAGGTCAAATAAAGTAATAATGATAATTTCTCATCTGACCTGGCAATATCTTTATTCTAAACATCTTGCTACAACAGCTTTTAAAGTGTAGGTCATAGGCAGATGGCAGTCCTGACTCATTGTTTCCAGCTGCTAAACAATCTTAAGTAATTTTATTATCTTAATTTTTTTCACTTAAAACTGTTGCTATAGTTTCATGGTAATTGCCATTGGGAATAGAAGTCATGCATTCATTGCAAATAAAACCAAGCCTTTTTGACTCTTACTGCTCAGACAGGATAGAAGCTTGCAACTTTTTTAGTTCTCATAAAAATGAAATATTTGTGATGGGGAAACTTGATTTAAGTGGTCTACCAAGACTAGCTGCTTATTTCTGCATTATCACAGACCTGTACCGCTTAAGTTACAATTATAATAAAATCCGTTCTTCTGGAGATGCGTAACGGAAATCTACATACTAAACCCACTAAATTGGGAGCTGGCTGGTTGCGCCCCTTGTTGGTGAGCCTGGCCTCTAATTAAAGACTCAGTTCAAAATATGAAGGATAAAAGCCATTTCTAAAAGCTAATATTTCTACAGTGATGTAAAATCCATAGGGACCATGACAAACCTCAATTCATTGGTCTATAAATGGAGAGGTATTTGTTAGATGTTGCTTCCTCTAACAATTCAAAGCCTCTATATATATATACACATTATTAATAAAATATTTTCACTCCACATTTATACACATCTGTGACTTGCTCTTCACAGACCATTACGTAGTGCAGTGCTGGACCCTCAGATATTGCAGTGATGAGTTTAAGGATGGAATCTCTTGTCAATAAAGTGTTTGACCAAATTGCTAACGGGATCTGAAAGGACACTATGACTATTATTGCTGGATGGAGAAATGTCTGCACGTATATGATGCCTATATGCAAAACCTCAACCCAGTCCGTTGCACAGATACTTCTAGTTCTCTCCCTTTGAGATTAGAGAGGTTTTGTATGGATCAAAGTATTTAGACTAGAGTGTGACCTTTTTTCTCTTTTTACTCAGATAACTGTATTTATCCATTTATAGAAAATCATAACTACTTATAACTGTATAAGGACCTTATACATTGCATGTTCTCTGTAAGTGAAAATGGCTGTCAGAGTCATGTCTGCTTTACGAATTTGTGGTAGCATTGATGGCCAGGGTGCTAAAAAATAAAATCCTTGACTGATGCAATTTATCAGATGAAGCCCTAGTGCCATCAGAAAAAAAAAAATCATTGCTGGTACAGCTTTCTTTGCTTGTGGAAGGTGTCCAGACATTAGTACAAAACATGCCTTTGCATGCACAGCTGCATCGCACTTCATGTTTTGTCACACAGGTACCGTCCTGTGTGTGTCCAGCTGGCAAAGCCCTTCTAACCCCAAACATATTCTGCCTTTGGGGTGCACGGGGCATCCTGTGCCCCGTTTGCAGGGCAGTTCGTTTTGTTTGGTACCGCTAACTGGTAATGAAATAAAGGTCGGCAAACAAACCTGCCACAACCCTCTTGTTGCTTGCAATTACACGGCCACATTAATGACCCCATTGCGATCCCTCCCTTCCCGTCCTGCTCAGTCCCAGGTTCTGCTTCCTCTCTCCGCGTGAGAAATCGTGCTCTGACACAGGCAACACCCTGTCCTGCTGCTGGCGGTCTCCCCGGCGAGGATGTTTCCCATGCCTTCGCTTCCAAAATTTCCTAAGCCCACAAAAAGCAGAATATGCTCTACTGGAAGCAGTTCTCAGGAATCGAATTAATCTTAACCAACAACCCGAAAGCCAATTGAAAATTAGCAACCGTAGCCTATAGTGAGCAGACACAGGCATTTCTCTGAACTAAACCAACCCATGATCTAGTTTGTTTCTCTTTGTTAAGAGTGTGCCTGAGATTCTTTAGCATTCTTTACCAACTCATGGCAGTGAAAGACCCTAATTAGGTGAAAACATTTGTCTATAGTATTCCAGCAAAACTCGCAACGTGACAACAGTGCTACAGCCTGTTGCTTCTCTCGTAGTAGTAAAATATCCTCCTACAACTAGAACAAACAATGGCAGTAAGAGTACAGCTCTGCTAATATTTCAAAACCACAGGCTGCTGCTAACACAACCATATCAGACTTCCATCCTCCCACCCAATGTATACCAAGAGAAGCGTGTCCCACCTTTCCAGAGGACAATGCTACTCTCAGTTGATGGCTTTGATAAACCTCTCTTGGCTTCCACGGTAGTGATTCAGCTGGAAACAATCTTCTTCAAACAGATGAATCCAGCCCCTACTTTTTGTCTCTGCAAGTGTAACACATCTGCGTGCGTCACTTCAGCTAACCCCGCAGCTTCTCATTGCGCCAGATAACCAAACGCGTGCATTTTCTGCCTTGCAGGCCTTCATGCAAAAACTTGCCCTGTGGCTCTTTACTGAAGCTGCAAGACTTCAGTTAAGAGAAGGAGGGAAGACTTGGAGCTCTTATCACACTTTGCAAGCTCAGATCGTACACATCGGCTGGTGACGGTAGCCTGACACACGCAAAGACCTACCGAACATCAGAGGCTGTTTGGGACCCACGAGAGAGCAACACAGCGTCCTCCACCAAATAAACACGGTGGCATTGGATAGCTGCACTTCTCTGACTTTGCTACTTCAGTGACAAAGTGTGTCGTAGCATTAATTTTCTTTCCCACCAGGAGTTTTAAAAATATTTACAAAGATAATTGTCCAATGAGGTCATTTTTATATTAACCCTGTTCTGGAATTCATTGGGCTACAAATGTGGTTTTCGTCAGTACAGCACAGCCATGGTTGTTTATTATACTCTTTTTTTATTATTTAAAAAATATAAAAGGAAAAACGCCCAAGCAGCTCCTGGAGCTAGTTTTTTCCATGGATTTGTGTCCCATGCTTCACTGACTTTGTCTAAGAGGGCATAAGTTCCAACAGGAGCTTTTCCTGCACTCGGCGTGTTTTACGTCTTCTTCCCATACCAACTGCCTTGCATTTAATTAGAACCGGCACATGCTGGGACCATGCAAGTTTCTCCCTCCTTCCCCATGCTTACTTCCACATTACTGATAGAAATAAATTTCCCTCACCATTGAACAGGCTCAGAACTTATTAGTGACACAGGCA